TCTATACATGATACACTTAGATAAGTATTTCTGTACTTACACTTTTACAAAGCCATCAACTGAAAGGACATAAAATACATTCAAGACTGAACAGAGAAGCAAGAGAGCTGTGAATAAAAAGACATGTTTCAGTTGATACAACATGACACAGAAAGTATTGTACATTTTAGAACTTGAAAGCCACTACCAGTCACAGGCCTGAACTTGATGGCAAGTTCCTAAGAGAGGACTAGAGTTACCCAACATTCAGGTCCTCCAGTTTGTCTTGGTACAGCCTTAAATTCACTTGTGACACTTACACACTTTTGTGACCTAAGAGTTCACAAGACAGGTCTTCTCAATCTGGTAATTTATACGGATGGATCACTTAATGACATCTGTAAAGCGTTCTGTCCTACTGTGGGCCCTCAAGACCCCTAGAGCGGCATACATCAGTGGCACACAGTACCCGACACCGAACCAATACCACCCGTTATTAAGGTGTGCTGTCACAAAAGCAAGTTTAAGGAGATATCCTTGGGAAATATTAACCTGCCGCTTTAACAGCCTTGTAAAGCTTAGTAGGCATTAACAATACTGCAGCTCACTTGAGCAAGAGAACAGAGCTTTGCAGAAAGATGACGTGTTTGTTTCTTAAGCCATCATCGTAACAAACATAGAATGAAGCATTTTAATGGGCTACAGTTAATCATCTATAAAACATGTATGTTCAACATGAATTTAAATTCTAAGCTGGTAATAAATAATACAGTATCTCTGAGCACATTTTAAAATAGACGTTATGAAATAAAATTTAATTTTCAGAAAAGCTTTCGACCTTTTTGTTCAAAAACACATTTAACCTATCCTTTATAAACAATTGCAGACAGTTTGCCTGCCTGAAAATTTTGATTTATGAAGCCCTCCTGCCTAGTGCAGAACACTTATTTGTATTAATTTTCCTTCCTTCTTTTTTCTAAGGCAGATTAAGTTGGAGCTGAATTCACAAAAACTGTTAATGTAGCAACTACCTTAAATTATAATTTACTGTAATGGTTGTAATTTGTTTTCATTCTAGTTTTTTTAGTAATCATATAAATATCCAAATGTTCACTGAAGCAAGCTACTGTGAAGACTGCAAGTACCACAGTCAGAGCAGTAGCTAGACCTAGATTTAAAATGCACATACTTCTTTCTGGGTAAGAAAAGGTAGGTTCTCTCTGGTCACTGAAAAATCTCCATGCATCCCCCTGTTAACTACTCATCACAATCTGTCCATTCACGTGAACCTGGCTAGATGTTACGTTCAATGCGAATTAGAAGCAGCACACTGCACCATTTCTCCAAGGCTGTTAATTTTGAACTATACTATTGAGAGCAGTGTGGCATAGCTATCTTGGCACACCAGTATTTCAAAAAATACAGGCTTATAGGTAGCAGTAAGACAGTGGAGTGGAGCATAAAAGCCCTTTCTGTAACACACTCTTTATGCATAGAGATCCTCCCAGCTGATCTCATGAGCTCCCTACACAGAAGGTATGAGAGCATGTTGAGCCTCCTCTTTCCAAATCCCAGGTAGTGAGAGCTGACAGAAATGACGTCCATCAATTACTGTTCACAATGGCCTCAGTGACCCTCTTGGCAGCTAACGTGGAAGACATTAATTTCTCACTATTATATTCCTTTGTACTGCCCATGCCCTGAGACCATGATCTGGCCTCTAGACATTCTGGGCAGAGCTGTGAAACAAGGTGATTCATCCAGTCTGTCCCAGAAACAGCCTTTCCCAGTGGGAACAGTCTGTGAGTGTTGGGGGGAACCTCAGGAAGTCCCAATGTTTTCAGCTGGAGTTTATAAAAAGGACAGTGTGTTTACGTTACTCTCATTAGTAGGAAATGTCACCAGATGAATAAGAACCTCCTTCCAAATGCCTATTCCTATGCATTGTCATTTAAAAAGCTTAATAATATTCTATATTAATACATTCCAGAAGTTATATATAGGACAAGTAAGAAAACACCGTCAGACGAACAATTTGTTAAAGACTACATCAAAACATCAAAGACTCTGATGTTTGAATACATTCCTAATCTTTCATAAACATGAGTATTTCAATGCTTTAGAAAACTAGGAATATTGCATAGAGGAAGACAAAAAAGACAGGTGTCAAAGAGAAGTTGGAAAGAGAGCACCATATGAAAATCATACTTAACTTTTTATGTCCATTTAACAAGCTAATTAAATGTTTCATGATGTTATATTGAAGTTTAAGTAAGCTACCCAGGATAAAATCCTGGCCCATCTGAAATCAACGGTAAGAGGATTTTACTTGCAATTCTCACTATCTTTGAGAAGATATTAAAACAAAAGGTATACATTGAGGCTTCAGTGAAAGGCTTCAATTGAAAAACAAGAGGAAGACAAGTACATGTTGCTTGTTTATTTTAAAATACATGCCATGTAAACTAATCTACATGGCAATCCCTCTGGTCTATGAAACAATTAATGCAATACTGTAAGTAATTTTAGCTTTATTTGTATTCATTTACCATTTAGCAAGACTTCTGTACCTGTAAATAACTTTAAAATTCTATCATTACCTTGTACACCATTGCTTTATGAAAGTGCAAACCCAAGATTGTAGCAAAAGTGCTGTATTTTTTTCATGTCACATGTATAAAAGGATATAAAAATAACTCTTTGATTGACATATGATAATATCCTTAAGCCACAATGAAAACAAATATAATACAGTATTATAGCGCAGGTATTCCTTTTGTTACAGGAACAGTATCTGTGGGATACACTCATACAATCAAGGATTTCAAAATCACATTCTTAAAGTATCCAATGCACTTTCAATGAATTGATGCCTACGGTCTTCAGTGAGCTGCCCTGACAGTAAAAAAGAGACACAGAATTTAATCTAATCTTAGTTACTCATATTTCAACACACTCTTCTGCTTGCTAACTGAGAAATATTCTAAAAACTGACATGATGTTCCTCATGGATCAAAAAGCAAGTTTATAAAACAGTATTCTAAGAACTTTGGACAAATACAACTGCTAGTCTGAACATGTGTAACACAACTATTTTGAGATTCAGTGTTGTAAATCTAGTTTATCGTTTAAACTTTTATAATTTTAGCTGCATATAAAACAGAGAAGTAGTAAGTTAAATTATAGCACCTTGCATTAAATTTGTTTTTAAAAATACAAAGATTATATTTTTTAAAATTGTAAGAAATACAACTATTCTATCTCAAATCCACTACACCCCTGTTATTTAAAAGGAAGCTAATTTACATGTAATGAAGACATGAATAAATATCACAAATTTAAGGCACAAAATGCAATCTGAAAGTCAGGGATGTAGTAAATCCTTGTTTTTTCATCAAACTACCTGATACACCAGAAAAAGGTATATCCTCAATTTTCAAAGAAGCTGTACTATCAGAATCAGTGAAGCTAAATATGGAAACTGCCTATTCAAGTATATAGTTCAAACTCTTGCCAGAGAAAGATTATTTTCCAATATTGCATTACAGCTAACTTAAAACCTTCCAAGGAATTCTATGCATTGATAAGCACTACTGTGTCATTCTATAACCTAACCGATCTCATTGGTAGGATCTTCCTCTTGATATTCATTGGATATTTACCTTGTTTCAATTTTATATAATCAGTTCTAATTACACCTTCATACATAGAAAGCCTCTTCGTTTCCATCTATTTGTCACATAACAAAAAAATACACATACTTAACTCAATCTTTCTGATTTCCTTCTCACTTCACCTAATTTTGTCACTGGACTTTTCAGACTATTGACTCAATTTCTCACCCTTGAGGTACCCAAAATATAAGACCGTACTCCAGAAATTACCTCAGCAATCACAAGGAGTATTCTTATTTCCAGTTGCCCGATGCAGCTCTTGTGCCTATATACTCCTCTTTTGATGTTAGTGATTCCAGGAGCAACTTCGTTGCCTACATTAGCAAAGCTTCCTACTACATTATTACATTTCGATCTTCTCTCTCTCTTGCTAAGAATCTAAGTTTCCTCAAATGCATTACCTCCTCTCTGAATCTCTTAGGCTGTGTCTAATTCTTGTCTACATTTAATCTGTCTGTTGGACCTCTCCCACTCCGTTATCATATAATGTAACACCATGAACTTTTATTCATATACTGTAGATCCCTTTTGCAGATTACTGGACATTAAATAGGTCAACACAGAATAAACAATAGGAGGGAACAATTAAAATTGCACAATGGGATGATTCAAAGCACAATCTATATTTTAAGACACTATTTCAAACATATTTTATCCCACTGAGCTATTTGTAAGTTAAATATCTCACTATAGCTACAGTTTCTAAATGCAATACCATAATTTTTCTGCATGCATAATTAAACGTTTAATATGAAACATGCTGGCAATCAGTCTTCCTCTGCAAACGAGTCCCATTCCAGCCACTGACCAGAGAAAGGTAGGCACATCAAGTCTACTCCTCAGCACAAACTTTTAACCAGTTAATACTGTATCTATTATTTTACATGTCTTTAGAATTACAAATGAAAATACAGAGAGATTTAAATTTGCACTGACAATCAAGAATTCAGCTCCTTTCAAAAGTCCTTCTGGAATTCTACAGTGAGATCATGTAATTCAAAGAATGGTGGACAACATGCTAACAGTACTTATAACTGGAAAGATATTATTTAATACAAAACTTAAATAACATTTAAGCCATCTAGTCATTGAAAAACATCATTACCTAATATATGCTCTATTTTACAGAAGATTCACTCTCAGTACAACTTATCGAGTCTCTGTCTGTTCTTGATGATGACTACAGGTCAAACAGACCTTTCAGAACAGAAAGCACAGTAGCCAGCTATTCCAATTCTTAAAGCTTTTTGTCAAGCTATTGAAAAATGAGAAAAAAATCAAAATGAAACCAAGGACGAAAGGAAGAAGACATATTAATTGTAAAAATAATACAGTCCATGCTATTTTATACACAGTTGTTTATTCTTGTTCCATGTTTTAAAACTTGGACTCAGAAAAATCACAGGAAGTTTTAGTTTTTTGCCCTCCTTTTTTTTCCATTAAAAGCACCATAGTTACACGGCTTGATTCAATCATCCTTTTCCACAATCACTTCTCCATAAAGCACCCTTCTTCTCTGCCGCAGCATGTGGAAGTAGAGTTGTGGAAATACTTGAGCAAAGGATAAAAGAAAGCAAATTAGATTAAAAAATTGCAACAGATCACATAACAGAAAAATAAAATTTTGCAGAATGATGAACTCGGGAAAGTTATGGCACACAGTGCTGCAGCTGGTTAAAGGTAAATAATAGCAAGTCATAAACACTGCAGTGAATTACAAAATAATCACTCCAGTCACACAAGGCCCCCTGAATGTATACCGTGTATTCAAGGAACTTCCCTCCAACACTTTATTTGTATAAACAGGACTTATCCACTTTCCAGCAGTGCCTGAAGTCTTCAAATCTGAGTTAAGGTAAACATGTTTGAATTAAGACTTTGAGGAGGATACAAATACACCCCAGTGGCTCAAGTCTGAAGTGAGGAGCCCCCACTCTTCTGGCCATCTGTAATCTATCATATTACTGTCCTGCTGATACATTTGATTGTTATATTTAATGGACAGAAAATCTGATTTATTCCTGAAGCTTTAAGTTATATAACCAACTGTAAAACTGTTGGTAAGTTATGATAGCTTAGAACATTTTTTTATTCATATAAATCTCTTTTGTTGGCCTTCATGATTTCCAGTGACAAAAAATTTCACAGTGTGTACATACTGGGAAAGTCCACATTTAAGGTCACCTTCTTAAATGAATACTTTTTATGGATGCAGACCACAAACCCCTGTAACTTCAATTTTCCTGCTTCTCAATGCCTCTCCTTTTGCCTTGTTTCTAGCCTCACTGTCCAGATTATCTAAAATACTCTGTTTGCCCAGTTTGGTCTAGCCCCATTCAGGATGCTAAATCTGAATCAGGTTGCTTTCTCCTTGTCTACATTGCTTAGGTACCAGTGGAAATAACACTGCAAGTGAAAGGTAGTCTCTCTAACCTTAGCTCTGGTTAGCCAATTGACCTGTGGCTACTGCTATCCAGAAGTACAAGGACAATCTTGTTAAACCAGGGACTGAAGTATGTTCAGAGAGGTTTGGGGGGTGGATTTCTGTGAAAATGAAATCTTGGAGAATACTGCTTCAAGTTTTTCCTGAGCATGCTCAAATGGTGATTTACAGAGGTGACACGTAAATGGATATTAATAGCAATAAAAGCAAGGCAAATCTCTGGCACAACTTGCAGGACAGTTTTTAAGCCATTGCTTCAAAGTGGCAGAAGCACTAGAAATTCTCAGCAACAGTTACAGACATTTCTGCATGTAAGCAAAAAGATTTTTTACTTTGTCCAAGTCTTAGAAATGTTCTTAGCATTTTCACTGAAGTTTTTAAGACAGCTTATGTTCTGAGGCAGATAACAGGACTGAAAATTTCAGACTAACCAATTAAAGTACAGCAAAGCTTGGAACAACAGAAAAGAGGCTTTTATAGAAGAAAGTGTTTAGCAAATTTAACTACAGGCAGTGTTTCCAGCATTGCTGATAATTGATTACTATGTGTTTAGTGTTACTACAGTTAAGTAATACTTACATGGCACATAGGAGAACATGACAATAATAAGGAAGTAATAGTAGTCAAAGGAGACATTATATTTGTTGGGAAGTCTCAGTGAAAACATTCCTGTTTTCTTCACATAGGGTAAAGCAGCATATATGGTTAGCAGTTCACCTGCAACTCCAGCAGGATACAAAATGATAAAAAAGTTGTATCTGCATTAAAAAAAAAAATCTTGTGAGAAACACCCCATGAATATAAAATTTCCTCTTGCTATTATTAGTGGCACAGCAATGTATTACAGTAGTTCCTGCACCAAAATCAAGGAGCATGTCCTGACTTGGCACAGAATACCAGTTTCAGTTACTTTGAATAGCGTTGCTTATGTTTACAGAGAATGCATTCTTCGGTCCTTTTATTTAAAAACAGTGAAGTATTAGAATGTTTCTATGTCCACTTAATACTAAAGAGTTAAAAAAAATGGAAATTTGTATTCTCCAATAATGTCTTTTTTAAAAATTTACTGATATTTTTCCTGTTGTCACTGACAGGATTCAGACCAGGACTGGATCCCAAATTCAAATGATCCTACATACCTTTGTCACAGTGCATGCACTCTTGGTCAACTCTATGTATTATAATTTATTTGAAGATAATGAAAATGTTGAGAAACATCAGAAGCCTGTTTTACCCACTGCCACATGGGAAATCCAAATAATACTACGTTTACCACTAATGGAAATGGAAATAAAAAAGAAAAGAAAATGAAAGTGCCGGGAACTTATCAGATCTATTTTAAAATGGGAAGAATATGTTTAATACAAGATGAAGGCACTCAGTTTAAAGAAAATGTGGTTTGAATGCCATAGGCCACATAGGTAGAGACAAAATGAAAAACCTAATCAATAGGATTTATGCTGTCCTTAAGCAGAGTGCACCATGGAAGCACAGTTTCTACTAAGGAACAGATCTTAAGTTCATGCAGGGAACAGCAGACAGCTGTCACACAGAGAGAAAGGTACAGTGTGCATTCCATGACCAAGAGATGAGATCCAAAACAGCAGCAACCAAACGTGAAACCCTCCTAGGAGCAAATTGGCTTAGAGGACTCACAGGTCAGAGAACAGATTAGGGGAGGTATAAGAAGGAACTTATGCCACGACCCAGAAGCAATTTGTCTCTATGCAGTGGGGGGGGGGGAGGGGGAAGTAAGAATGCTGAACTAAAAATTTAGAGCATACCTGCAGAGGAGCTTGAACTAGATGATCTTTAAGATCCCTTCCAACCCAAACCATTCTATGATTGACAATGGACAGGCAAATCTTTTACAGTTATAAGCTAAAGATCAAAAATGTCCAGCTGCTTTGGACTACTGAATTTATGCCCAGTTGTGTTGTTTGATTATCCATAAATCTTGATGGGATATTTTGGACAGTATGAAAAGAAAATACATTTTCAGATGGTTTTTTTATAGTGTATTTCACCATATATCTCTGCTGCGAGACTGTTAGTTTTCCCTATTGTCTATTATAAGAAAACAAATATTCTGTCATTCAAGATACACTGACTTGATGGCAAAAAAGCATATCTGTCAGTGTAGTACCTTCTGAATGCATTTCTCTTTCTGAAGCCTACATAAAAAATTATTAATGAAACCAGACCTGATTATTTTTAAGTTTGACATTTAGTGCTTAAACATAACCAAGCCTATCTCCTTAGCTATTAGTGAAAAGAAAATGTATTATAAGAATGGACATAAATATCACACACATCAAAGAAGTGCATTAGAAGCATCAGAACTGCATTATCTACAAAATAAAAACACAGGAAAATAAAGAAGCACACTGTTTTAAATAAGAGTCAGCTGCACGGAATGTAGGTAAGATATTTTCCTTCTAACAGTGTAAATCTGTTCGTCTTACATGTTTTTTTCAAACAAAGACTACAGAGAATACTGCTCTTCCAGTTAAGACTCTTGACAAACATGCAGTCTCTGTAATATATCTGATCTGGTGGCCAACCTTACATTCTTCAAAATCAAAGCAGTTTTGATATGGAACACACTTTTTATGTGGGCTAAAGTAAGTCAATACTAACTTTACTACATGAATATAACCTTACAAAAGCTCCGATAAAGCAGAACTTCTCATAAAGTAATAATATCCATACAGACTGAGTGACAACAACTCCCACATTTTCCAAGACCTGAAATACACAAAGACTAGCACAGGGGTTTAATTTTCGGCATTGTATACAAAAGCATATTAAGGAGTCATACTGTAAGCTAAAAGATGACTCTAGAGATAAAGGAAAAAAAATTAAAGTAAATTAAAGCAGAGTTCAAACCATGAGACACAGAAAGCAAAAAACAAATCACACCCCAAAATCTCAGCGAAAACATTTTTAACATTTTAAAGCAAGTAACAATGATCCCAAGTACAGAAAGCAACCAACTTCCACTCTGCTGACACATAACCAAAGCTCAAACATCTGCTCTCCTGTGTGTTAGCTCAGCATGCGTGAAACTAGCATGCACAGAACCATGAGAAGCTAAAGTGCAAGACATCTCCACCTGGCCCATTTAATGAAGTATGGCAAATGGTTGAGCAGGTTGAATGTGTAGAAGGAATATCGAGTAATCTCTGTCACAGTCCATACGACCAGAAAAAGAATAACGCTCTCCTCATTCTGGATCTGCAGAAGTATAAAAACCAACACTTTCTTCATCCTTAAGCTTCTTTTCTGTGCAAACTGCAATAGACTTCTTTTTAAGATACATGGAACAGAGCTAACATCTTGTAAAGAAAGAAAATTTTGGCATAAAAGTAATATGCTGAAACCATTACCATGTGTAGTTCTTTAACATATCTATTTACGAACATACAGATATTTTGCAAACCGAGCAATTCACTGCAATTATCCATTATGCAAATATCAAAATATAAAACCCTATAATTCAGGAAATTCCTCCTCTTCATTCTCTATCTGCATTTTCACAATGCTGTCTCCCTCTTTTTATTTGTCATTGATTTACTTATTTTCTGACTCTTCAAAACAGCAAGAAAAAAAACAACGCTACAAAAGATATGTGCCTTCTACCCATTCGGCATTTCAGTACTCCATCTCCTAGACTTTCTCTTACTTTTTATCTTACTTCTTCCTCACCGTATAATGCACGTCTCCATGAAACTTTAGACAAAAGGAACTGTATAGTATAATCTACTAACAGGAAGTCATTCACAAATTTGTCAGACTTCAGGGAGCTGTAAGATAGTTAAGGAGCTGCAACACAGATGGATCACTAGATGAAGAGTAGTTGGTAGATCAGGAGCTTTGGGTAAACTCACTCAACAGTCCTGTTTAAGATTTAAGCTCTGAGTCATTAAACTGCCTCATGCATAGGTAGCACATCTATCTGCTGTTTCAAAACATTGGTTCTTTTTCACTCTGAGTGAACAAATAAACAAAAGTCCCCAAATGCAGAGAAAGCACATGGGGAAACACTACCTTCTGAGAAGAAGAATTACACGCAAGTAATTTTCTTTTCTTTAAAAGGGGAGGAATTTTGTTATACACTTCCATGCCTGAAGGCTGAAAAGCTCCAGGGATGTCTGTGAAATAAAATAAAGTAACACAAGTTTTGTTAAAATCACAAAAAAAGGATTTTTTTTTAATAAAATGCAACACAGTGACAAACAATACATCTGAAGGATGCTGAAAATGCACAACTCTGTCAAAAGAAAAAATGTGTTCATTATCTCATAAAATTGCACCCTCAATGTGTCAGTCCAAGAAGGTGCACTTTTAGTGAAAGGATCTCACCAACATCACAAAAGAAAAGGAGATATAAAAATACCATCAAACTCACAAACAAATAGCAACAACTGAAGTGCAAAGACATCCAAACAAACAAGCAAAGGGAAAGACGGAATTAGGCTGTTCTTAGCCTCATGTGATTAGAGACAAACATTGATAGACCAAACTTGGATTCATGTCACAGTGCTAAATCCAAGCAGAAAAGCTTTAAATAAGTATGCAGAGAATTCCTATCTGTTGCCTTGCAAATCTCCAGTCAAGCAGAGAGATCTGGGTCTGGCTTTTATCACTAACACGCCTCTCACCACCTAAAGTGACCCTGAACACTCATGCCTGCTAAGCAATAACAGCGTGAAATACAATCAGACACACATTCAGATGTATTTTGTCTCGGACACAGCTTGATCTACTGTACTGAAGATAAAGGAAAGAAAAGAAATGACTGGATATGCTAAGGATTTAATCTACTGCAGATAATAAAAAAATTGCAAAATGCAGTGCTATATTCCAGTATTTGTGTAAACATTCAATATAAAAAACTTGTTAATCTTTGAGACATTTTCCCTTAAGGGAAAAATGAAAACATTTAACTAATGAAAAAAAAAGAGCTACAAAAAGCCTATTCCATGTTAAGAAAAGCAACAGTAAAGGAAAAGATGGGTGTAGAAAATGAGTCCTCTGTGAACTGAAACAGGGATCTCACAACTGAGGCAGGTGCTATGATATCCCATCAGCAGAAAGGCACATGCCACCTGCTGGTGAGACAGTTTAATGGCTCAGCTTTCTAAGTTTAAAGAAATTCAGGAGCACAGACTCAAAACCTATTACTTAATTCTTACATGCCCTTCACGGAAAGCAGACCTCAGAAACTGAATTGAATGTCCTATCTAGTAGCTGTAAGCAGTCTGCTTCTGTCATTCTGCCAGCGAATCACTAGACTTACAATAACCACCTACTGCCAGGCAAATAAACTATTGCCATTTATACAGGACCTTAAGTGTCACTGTGGCATGCTAGATAACTTGACATATTTTTAATTAAAACAATGCAGTATGCATGCCATCAAATGTTAATATTACCATACATTCAAATCTTGAGGAGGTTCCCAAAATAAGCTGCAAAATCACAAGTATGTTTATCCAGATAAATTCAATTTAAGACGTATTTTCATTTAGATTAATTCAGTAAGTTTTTGAAAGGGAAGTTGTCACACTGTGGAAGATTTGCTGGTAAATAATCGCAGTAGTCATTGATCTCACTTAGGCAGACCACAGCCTGCACACTGCTGAAGGCAGTGCTGATTCACAGCTAAGACCCAGACCCAGTCTCCTGGGTAGAAGTACATACATTTCATCCTGTAACCCCACCCTCCAAAATCGCACTTAAGTATGTAAGTATTCTCTGGAGGAATGTAATTCATTTTAAAACTGGTCTTCCTTGTGACATGAGAACTGTATTAATAGCTTCTCCTTGAAAACAATCAAAACACAACTTGTTTATGCACATACCTGTTTTATACTATGTGCAATGAACCACACCATGAAGATTCTTGAACTCACTTGGACCCCAGTCACAAGCACAGATGTGTGAACTATTCCTTAAAAAGAGAAACACATTATCTCTGTTCCACAATTAATGTTTTAATTAGTTACAGGAGAAACTAAAACACAGAACTCACCAACTGCACAGTGGACTACCTGCAAATAAAAATAAGTTAGAGGTTACTGATGTACAGCATGTCACTATCTACACCATAAACTTGGCCCTTTGATATTAGTATAAACCTGTGCTTAAATCTGACTGAGAACTGGTTTTTAGTCTCCAACTAACAGTCTTTAAAATAAATACATATCAGAGCCATGGCAACCAATGCTGTAATGGGCTCAGTATCTGATCTGTGCAAACACATGAACGAGATTTATTTTCCTAATTAATTGTATATATTACATATTTAGATACTTATAAAGCATTTATGTTTTCAACTAGCAAGTAATCTTCCATTCTATTATCTTACTCAAAGAAGAATTTTACAGGACAGCGTGGAGGGAGTGATATAAGGGATGCTAAAGGCACAGCAATTTTAAAATGTTCTATATTCATTATGGATTAATAACCTTATTATAATTTTACTAATGACAGCTATGAAGCTTCATATTTATTGGATTTTATGGTCAGTAATGTTTTGCAAATAGAGTGCTTCTCATTATTTTGACAGATTTGAGTAGAATTAGTTATTGTGAAAGTTTAATAGCATAAAAGCTGGCCACATGATTTTAATAGTTGCTTGAACTACAGATGTTGTAGGCAGATTGAGAACAAAAGTTAAAAGGTAGATGGGCACTCTTTGTTGTGCCTGGGAAACAACTGTAAGTACTCAATACACCCAACAGTTTCATTCTATCAATGTACCATAAACTGAGACCACTAGTACATAGCTGGCCAAAGTTATATTATTTAAAGAATACTTTGCACAACTTGCACAGACCCTGCTGTAACGCATTATATGGGGAATATTAATCCAGTCTGGAAACAAGTAAAAGAGAGAAAGACACAGAAGGATAATGAGTCCAGTATAAATTATAAGAGGGAAGCTTTCATGTCGGGAGATAGAGGCTATCTGCTATACTAGAGGGTTGATCTGCTGTCTGGAATGCTTTCAGAGGTTTTGGCTTTTGAGCTAAAGACTCTCAAATCAAAGCAGTTCCCAGGCAGTATTCAATTTAAAGAAATGTTAGAATTAAGTTTGAAAAAATGTGCCCATTTCTTTCAACTATCACCTTGCCCCCCAAAAAAACTTAATTAAATAATCAAGTCAAAAGGACTTTAAGTACTAATATAATATTTTGATATTACATTCAGGTTAATAACGTGTTTTGCCTACGATATGCAGCATCCAGTAAAGCAAACTCATGTTTAAAATTTACCTCAAGCAAAGCAAATGTCTGGAAAAATTTAAGCGTCTTTTGAACGCTTCTGAATAAGCCTCTATGTGTTCCTTTCTGTATATAAAACCGCACCATGGCAATACCTAATACCAGCCACCTACAAAAGAAAGAGAATGGATACATTTCAAAATAGAATTCTAAAAATATCCATCCACCGTAAATAATTTAGTAGAATATTTTCTCCACAGAATATCTTTGCTTCGTCACTTGTCAGTGTTCTTAGGAGATTATTAAAAATATCTTTAGACATAAGTATTTTATAATGGTATGTAAACATTACACTCTTTATCTCTTTACTTGGAAAAGGATAGAGAATGACTTGTTTACCATCAGAAGACTGACTTGAATTGGGGTGATACCCCAAAACCATGGGTCCATCAGACTTTTCATCAGCAGTAACTAGATATTTTTACTATTAAATCATGCATCTTTACTGTGAATTACTGTTATTTGAAAACACATGATGAACTTGGTGCTGAAGCCACCATTTTGGGTCACAGGTTTGCACGGTAAAGGAGGACAACCCATGCACATAATTTTTACATTTTTCATTAGCCACTCAATTCATAACTTTCAGAATTGACTAGTGATCTGTACACTTCTGTTTGTGATTGTCCAACTGAAGTTACCTTTACAATTCAGTTTTCAAAAGTGTTGAGAAGTCATCTTTGAAAATCAGACTCCAAAGTGCTGAAAGATGGGTGCTCTACGCTCCTGGCTTCCAGAGGCAGGTATATTTAACTAGCACATTTCATGGTATTGGCTGATTTTTTTATATTTTTTAAGGAAACTGCACAATTATACCAACTGATAACCCTTCCAATGTAAAAGAAATAAAGTAACAGTATCTTTTAATCAAACTGGAATTTAATACAAAACTTGAAAATTGAGATCTCAAATGGAAATTGAGACTAAAAGAAAAACATCTTCTAAACTGTGGTGGGTTGATCCCCACCACCCAGTCCAGATTCAGTACAATAACCCAAGGCATGCACAATTCCTTCCACATAATTAACCCATGTTTATATAATTGAGATTTTCAAAATCACATACTATATGTTCCATCCTTAATGCAGAGTTATACCACGTCCTTGTAAACATCAAGCTAGCGAGATGCCTTGAAACTTCAGGCTTCAATCCACAAAGACTAAGAAAGTACAAAAATTTCTTATGTAGGCATAACCAGAGCTATGGATGGCTCTTTTGAGAGTTAAAAATAAAAATACAAAAATTACAATAACTTTAGCGTAACTTCTTGGCTGATGATATTGGGAACAAATAGTCCTTTCGTAATGACCTGAGAGTCGCCATGATCGTGACAACTCTCTGCTCACCTCGGATGGCATGTACTTCAGTATCAGCCCCTTAACAACTCATACACACGGCAGCTACTGCTATGCAGTGACTTGGCGTGGCCCATTCCAGCACTTCATGATGGCATTTCAAATGCAGTCAGGCTTCCCCACATAGTAGAAACTATTCCCCTCCTTGATCCCTTCTGCTTTAAGCCTATGAATCCAACATGCTAGAGCTCCAAAATTTGCCCCAACAAGTGTTACCTAGATTTTAGAATGGATTTTAAATCTGAGTGCATTTACTCGAAGTTGACTCCCACCACTGCAGAAACGTGGAATTACTGGACTGTCACTGGTAGTCCTTCACAGTAAAGCTGCCCTGTTTTATAGTGAAGTGTTTGACAAGAGCAAGGTGACAGTAAGTTTACAACCAGCTGACAGCACGAATGGTGACAGCAAGAGCTCTGTCCTAGCCCTTGCCTGAGAAGTCATAATACATCTAATCTAACAAGGCTTTTTCTGCATGTCATTCTGTAACAAAAGGGTCACAGAGAGAAGTAATCTTGGACCACTCTCAGAAGCAAAGACTGCAAATATTCTTCTTAAAGAATGTTTTATGTGGACACAAATTTCTGTAGATTGATTTATTTTGTTGTCAGAGGCTTTGACTCTGGACATCAGGAAAGCTCTTGTACTGAGTATTGCAAATCACCGGGAAACAGAGAACACTTTCTGTAATAAAGACAGCATTTCCAGTTGGGACACTGAGTAAGATAGGGTACTGATCTGTTATTTTAGTCCCTTAAACCTTTGTCAGAAAGAAAGTTAAGCCATAATTTTTATATCAGAGTGGTTGTTAACATGCAATGATGTATTAGTTTTTAAAACTCTACAAACAATATGCTATATTGCGTTGTCTGGACAAATGGACAAATAGACTGTTCTTGTTACTTTTTTATCCTATGTAGTGCCCCTGTTAGAGTTGCTCTATTTCAAATATTTATTTTTCTCTTAAATGGTATCTGCAAAAGATTATAAGAATTTGTTCCCATCTCTTGTTTCTCTGTTTCCACACAAAATATACAATTTTGCATGTCTTAATCACCTTTGATATTAATGGAAGATGGGAGAAAAGGAAATGAGAGATGCTGAATCAGCACCTAAGGTCAAAACTAATATGGTTCGATAATATTCTACAGACGTATAAAAGTCAGTGGCAAGACTAAGTGTTCACTAGCAAATTCACACATGGAGCACAAGGCTGGGAATCCAATGAGGTAACATGAACCTGCCAGCTAGAAAAAAAAATTACATTGAGTAAAAGCACTTTTCAAAAGGTGCCACAGCACTATTTGAACAGACTTGAATACGTGTTCAAGATTCGCTGATGCTATGGAGACGAAAGCCGTTGCAATCACATTCCCGGCTTTCCACACCAGCCCTTGAACTCCTGCTTCAGCTGCAGTGTATCGGGATTCAAACATCAGAGAGCTCACCTGCTGGTAACCAAGGTAAAATTGTGCTCAGGGTGAATGCCAGCACAGAAGTTACGAAATTGTTCCTTCTTAGTTTTAAGTATGTGGAAATTAACAGGGTTATTTTTTTCCCCCCAGGAGTAAGCGAACAAGGCAAACTTTCAACAAGTGAAAATACCCGCTTCAAGCGTTAACGACATAACCCCGGGTGCTCTTACGATCTGTCATTCAAAATAAACACCCACTTTCCTCAAAGCAAAGCCTGGCAGTGGGGAGCAGCAGCTCCAGTGAGCCCCCGGGTTACCACAGCTCCCCCCCGCTGCTCATCACCACACGCCCGCTGGCGCCAGGGCCCACGCTCGGATTTGGAGATTTCTACCTGGCAGGGAGCCGGTGCGAACTCTGCTCGCTGAGACCCGGGGCTCACGAACCTG